TTGTAGGAACACTAAACACTAAACCCTAAACCCTAAACCCTAAACCCTAGAACAGAGATTAGCATATACAGAATGCACAGGGGTTGAGGGGAAAAAGATAGGCAGATAGAGGGCTAGGGAAAGAGAATAAGGATATAAGAAGACACGATACAAACCCTAAACCCTAAACCCTAAACCCTAAACCCTAAACCCTAAACCCTCGACTCACCAGGCGCGCAGTGTCTCCTTTGTCCTCTTGAGCCCCCTGCTTTAGAACAGCAGGCCCAACCTCCCCTTGCTGAGGCGCACACAAACCCTAAACCCTAAACCCTAAACCCTAAACCCTAAACCCTAAACCCAGGGAACCTCTCCCCCCCGTAGAGACGCACTACACAGCCGAACGATAAGATATACTGATCGACGAGAAAGTCAGCTGTTTGTGAGAGCATGCACCGCTAAACCCTAAACCCTAAACCCTAAACCCTAGACTGTTGGCTGCACTACGTCTCCGAGGCTAAACCCCACAGGGACCCTGGGGGCCCCCAGGGGGCCCCCCGGTCTTGGTATTGATGTGTAATTGGGTATTATGCAGTCAACACCTCGTGAAAAGAAGAAGAGGGTTTGGTGCCTGTACACCTCGGGGCTGGCTAGGGTTTAGGGTTTAGGGTTTAGGGTTTAGTGGAGGGAAGTGGGCGCGCACCATCATTTTGGATTGTGGTTTAGAAAATGCGAGGATCCGGGAGAATAAAACAGATTCAATAGGGTAGAAATAAAGCTTATAAACCCTAAACCCTAAACCCTAAACCCTAAACCCTAGACACATGCACAACGGCTGCTGCTGTGTCGTATCGCCGCCCCGCCTGCAGCCGTTCCAAAGCCCCAGAAGCTGCTGAAGGGGAGAAGTATAAATAAATAAAATAAAATGAATTTCTTTATAAATTAAAATAAATTAAAGTTCAAAGAAAGAAGAAAACTTGTGCTTCTTCTGCAGCTGCAACACGTGCAGCAACCGCGACGAACAGACAGACACCCCGATGGCTGCTTGGGCGGTTTCTGGCGGACCCTGAGCTTCTTTATGTTTTGTATTGTTTTTTTTTTTCATTCAATTCAATCAATAAAGTTATAAAAACAATATTTTATTCTCTTACGACTAAGATTCTGGATTTCGTCGCTGTCGTGTTTCAGGTGTACGTACACCTCAGCTCGCTCGCTGCAACCCTGCGCGCCGTGCGGGTTTCTTCTGCAGCATATACAGCTCTGTATTGAGGTATTTGTTCATATAAAGTTTATATTCTTTCTTTTTATTTTAATAAAACAAAATGACGGACGCAGTTGATTACTATAGCCTCGAAGGAGGCCGCAAGGCGACAACAGAAGAGGCTGATTTCCGCAAGGAGATTCGTCAGGGTTTCATCAGGTGCGTATGCTCAAAAGACAAGAAAAACAACACAAAACAACAATAAAAATAAGTATTTATAATTAAAATAAACCCAAAATATTGCAAATGAGACAATAAGAAGAAAAGAGACGACGCATACGCATTGAAATCCCGAGGGTTTAGGGTCTAGGGTTTAGGGTTTAGGGTTTAGGGTTTAGGGTTTGTGTTTCTGCAGGAAAGTATACGGCATCATAGCCCTGCAACTCCTCATCACAACCGGGGTCACCGCGCTGCTGCTCTTCGTACCGGGCGGCGTCGCCTGGGCGAAGCACAGCAGCGGCCCCGTTGTTGCTATTTCAAGCGGTGAGATATTCAGCTGTATATACACCCCATATATACACACACATATATATATATATATATATATATATATACATATATATACATATATATATATATATATATATATATATAT